TTTGTCTTTGAAAAAGCTGAATCTCATCAATTTTGCTCTTTTTAGTGAAATTTTTATAAATTTCAGACTATTTTTTCTGGTTGTTGTATACAAAATTTACTGGAAATCGAAAAGGCGCAAGAAAAAATAAATTCCAAGCATTTGTGTCAAAGAGAAAGTGTTTTCTAAAGCTCTAACTCGCAAAAGACGACTTTCAAACGACAAAAAAACGACTTTCAACTTTCAACAACGCGACTTTCAACTTTGAAAGCTTATTTTAAAAATTTGAGAGCTCTAATCGACTCTCAAATTAGCAGGGTTAGAGGAGATTTGATTAAGATTGATATCGAGAAAAGGAGATCGGTTGCTGGAAGGAGATCGGTTGCTGGAAGGAGATCAGTTGCTGGAAGGAGATCGACTGCTGGAAGAAGATCGGTTGCTGGAAGGGGATCAGTTGCTGGAAGGAGATCAGTTGCTGGAAGGAGATCGACTGCTGGAAGAAGATCGGTTGCTGGAAGGAGATCAGTTGCTGGAAGGAGATCAGTTGCTGGAAGGAGATCAGTTGCTGGAAGGAGATCAGTTGCTGGAAGGAGATCGACTGCTGGAAGAAGATCGGTTGCTGGAAGGAGATCGACTGCTGGAAGAAGATCGGTTGCTGGAAGGAGATCAGTTGCTGGAAGGAGATCAGTTGCTGGAAGGAGATCGACTGCTGGAAGAAGATCGGTTGCTGGAAGGAGATCAGTTGCTGGAAGGAGATCAGTTGCTGGAAGGAGATCGACTGCTGGAAGAAGATCGGTTGCTGGAAGGAGATCAGTTGCTGGAAGGAGATCAGTTGCTGGAAGGAGATCGACTGCTGGAAGAAGATCGGTTGCTGGAAGGAGATCAGTTGCTGGAAGGAGATCGACTGCTGGAAGAAGATCGACTGCTGGAAGAAGATCGGTTGCTGGAAGGAGATCAGTTGCTGGAAGGAGATCAGTTGCTGGAAGGAGATCGACTGCTGGAAGAAGATCGACTGCTGGAAGAAGATCGGTTGCTGGAAGGAGATCAGTTGCTGGAAGGAGATCAGTTGCTAGAAGGAGATCGGTTGCTGGAAGGAGATCGGCTTCGTTTTGGCCATTCTTGGAGATTGAGAATGAGTCCGGGCAATTATCCGTTACAGCCATCGACGAGTGCTCATTCAATGACTTGTTTAATGATCTGTGTGCATTAGATTCAAAAGCTTTTTTAGAGAAATGTAGCCAAGATTAAGGGCTACAATTCTCTATATAACACTTCAGATTTTGGACAAATTCCCGCAACTACTTTTTCAAAAAGATGTTGAAAACTAAATGGGAACTAAATCGTCCTCGAACTGGAATTGAATTGGAATTGAATTGGGATTGAATGGGATTGAATGGGAATTGAACCAGCCTCGAATCATGACCGAATCAGCCTCGAATCGTAACCGAATCAGGACCGAACCAGCCTTGAATTATAACCGATTCTCCTTGCATTTGTCTGGAGATGAATTTTGATCAAATCTCCTCTAACGCCGCCAATTTGAGAGTCGATTAGAGCTCTCAACTTTTCTATATTAGCTTTCAAAGTTGAAAGGCTTGAAAGGTGTTTCTTCTAACTTTAGGAGCTTTAGGAGTTGATGACTTTCTCGCTTTCTCACGCTTTCTCCTTGGCACAAATCCGACTTCTTTCTCTAATGTTTGCGCATATGATTCCATCATTTGGAACACATGATTCATCAGATTTTGAGGACCAAATCAGCCTCGAAGCAGCCTTGAATTGGAATCGAATCAGGACCGAACCAGCCTCGAATTGGAATCGAATCAGGACCGAACCAGCCTCGAATTGGAATCGAATCAGGACCGAACCAGCCTCGAATTGGAATCGAATCAGGACCGAACCAGCCTCGAATTGTAACCGAATCCAATCAGAACTGAATCCAAACCGAATAGGAACTAAATCGTTAATTTCGATAATTTTCCCTAACTCTTTAGTTTTAATGTGTACTTTCTAGCAAAAACTTTCAAGAAACCACAGCGGGGCGCAAATTGACTCGATAATAGTTTTTGTGGTGAGGAAAGCGAAAGGAAAAGACAAGGTCATCCAATTTCTTTTGCACTTTTAAAAACATTCGAAATTTTTGCACAAAAATGAGTGCTCGATGGCTGGTTTAAAATTGTTTCTATCAAAGTTTCAGTAAGGCTAACCTAGAACGCCAGATGAAGAATGCAAAAGGACAGCTTTAGATGGACACCTTTAGATGGACAGCTTTAGATGGACAGCTTTAGATGGAGACATCTAGATGGACACCTTTAGAAGGAGACCTTTAGATGGAGACCTCTAGATGGACACCTTTAGATGGACAGCTCTAGAAGGAGACTTCTAGAAGGACAGCTTTAGATGGACAGCTTTAGATGGACAGCTTTAGATGGACAGCTTTAGATGGACAGCTTTAGAAGGAGACCTTTAGATGAACACTTCTAGAAGGACAGCTTTAGATGGACGGCTTTAGATGGACAGCTTTAGAAGGAGACCTTTAGATGAACACTTCTAGAAGGACAGCTTTAGATGGACGGCTTTAGAAGGAGACCTTTAGATGGAGACATCTAGAAGGACAGCTTTAGATGGACAGCTCTAGATGGAGACATCTAGATGGACACCTTTAGATGGACAGCTCTAGAAGGAGATCTCTAGAAGAACACCGAGAATGCCAAAGATTGATCATGTCCTTCTAGAGATGTCCTTGTAGGGCTGTCTTTCAATGCTTTGGCTAGTATGTTTTAAACATTATCAAACGAATCGGAAGATAATGTGACACTCAATTAGCCAAAATTTTGCTATTTCTATTTTGAGAATTTTAATTTCGCATGGGCTTTTCAAAAGATTTTTCTTTTGATTCAAAGATTCAAAAGATAAACCGAAATTTTGTTATTTTCCAGTTTCTGTTAAATGTGAATCTTAAATGGTAAATGTAAATTAATAAAATGGTAAATGGTAATAGGTAAATGGCAAAATGGGAAATGGTAAATGGCATATGTAACCCAATAAAATTCAATTTAGTGCTGAAACGTTGATGAGGACGAGTTAAATCCTCGAAAAGCAAGTTCGGCTCAACTTCTGACTGCCAAATTTAAGGTAAGAAAGAACGCAAAAAAAAAAACGTTTTTTTCGTTAAACTTGAATGTTAATATCGTAGAATCATAGAAATCATAGAAAAATATTGAAATTCTTGATTAAAACCAAGAAAAGATATTCAGTAAACGGCCAAATGTTAGAGAGAACTCTTTTCTCTCTAACATTTCTTCCTCTTTTCTTTCTCTCTTCTTTCTCTCTTCTTCCTCTCTTCTTTCTCTCTTCTTTCTCTCTTCTTTCTCTTTTCTTTCTCTTTTCTTTCTCTTTTCTTTCTCTTTTCTTTCTCTTTCAAAACTCCTATTCTGCATCGTGATTGAGTTGAATTTTTGAGTTCCCGCATAAATCTTACAAATTTCATCTTAAACTTCGCAAATTCTAAACTTATTTGAGAGTTCTGGATATCACAGCATTGATTGAAGTGAGAATTTCTGTGAAACGACTGAATGTTAGAGAGAAATTGCTTCTCTCAACCATTTTGCGGTAAAACTGCTATTGTGCGTCATGATTTCCAATGACAATGAGCATTTTGGAGGTCATTCTTGCAAATTTTTCTTGTGCTTTGCTTCGTTTTTGTGGCTAACAGCTAACAATGATAAAGTCGTGTTGCGTAACTAAACCGGACCGTTTTCTCAAGGATGGGTGATCAAGATTGGTTTGATTTCTTCGGGAAAACGAATCCTGAATGGCACACAAGCCATTTTGCTGTTTTTGAGGTTAACAGCTAACAGAGAAAAAGTTCGCAAGTTGCGTAACTGAACCGGAGGGATTTCTTGGCTCTGGGTTTCCAAATTGATTCGAAAACCACGGGAAACTAAATCCTGGATGTCACAACAGCGATTTTCAATGATTTGGGGTAACAGAAAAGAAACTAAAAAAAGTCCAAGTTGCGTAACTGAACCGGGCTGTTTTCTCAAGGATGGGTGATCAAGATTGGTTTGATTTCTTCGGGAAAACGAATTCTGGATGGCACACAAGCCATTTTGCTGTTTTTGAGGCTAACAGCTAACAATGATAGAGTCCCCAAGTTGCGTAACTAAACCGGACCGTTTTCTCAAGGATGGGTGGTCAAGATTGATTCAATTTCTTCGGGAAAACGCATTCTGGACTTCACAGCATCAAGCTTGACTGTTTTTAAGGTCACCAGTTAAAAATGATTTAAACTTGCGTAATGTTAGAGCGAAATTGCTTCTCTCAACCATTTTGCGGCAAAACTGCTATTGGTGCGTCATGATTTCCAATGACAATGAACATTTTGGAGGTCATTCTTATTCATTTTCCTTGTGATTTGCTTAAATTTTACCTTTTTGCTTGTCATTAGACAGTTATCTCTGTTGTACAGTACTGTACAGTACAGTACAGTAAACTCTAAAGTACTCGCTACAGTACAGTACAGTACTCCCTACAGCTACTCTATGCTACTCTACGCTACGCCACAGCTACGCTACAGCTATGCTACCATACGCTACACCTACAGCTATGCTACAGCTACAGCTAACCTACAGCTACGCTATGCTACGGCTACGCTACGCTACAGCTACAGCTACAGCTACGCTACAGCTACAGCTACAGCTACGCTACGCTACAGCTACGCTACAGCTACGCTACAGCTATGCTACGATACGCTACAGCTATCGTAATCCACCAATTATGTGCTGTGCTTTCCAGCTTAGCGAAAAAATCGATGCCTTTCCCGAAAACCGATACGCTAGGCTACGCTACGCTAAAGCTGCGCTACAGCTGGGCTACGCTAGGCTACGCTACGTTACGCTACGTTACGTTCCAGTAAACTCCTAAGTACTCGCTACAGTACAGTACAGTACAGTACTCGCTCGCAGCTACGCTACCCTACAGCTACCGTAATCCACCAATTATGTGCTGTGCGTTCCAGATTACCGAAAAAATCGACGACTTTCCCGAAAACCGACCTTTTCGCCATGTTTTCTCGACTCATCGGATTGTTCGAGGTGCGAGTTTTCACTAAAATCTTTTTGCTACATTAATTTAAGCTCAAATCCTTTGCCGGGGGAAAACAGAGCTCAAAACTAACGTTTCCATCGTCTACCGTATCATTTACCTTAAGAAAAGCTACCGTAATCAACTCAAGAAAGCTCAAAAAGCTCAAAAAAAGCTCAAAAAACTCAAAAAATCCAAAAAAACTAAAGAAACTACAGTAACCTTTGACAAAAGCTTTTAAAAAATAGCTTTAAAACCACCGTAATCCTGCTCGAAGGCAGTAAAAGTCACTTAAAACTACTGTATCAAGTCTGTCTGTCTCCACCGTAGCACTTAGTTCATAGAAGCCAGATTAAACCAGTTTAAACCAGTCTAAACCAGCTTAAACCAGCTCTAAACCAGTTTAAAACAGCTTAAACCCGTGTAAACCAGTTTAAACCAGTTTAAACCAGCTTAAAACCAGTTCAAACCAGTTTAAAACAGCTTAAAACTACCGTACCCATGACGGGCGGAGCGCTTTTTCGATCGCTCGTCGCTGTCATCGGTTTCACCTGTCTTTGATGCCTAAAAAACGAAAGTTTACTGTAATCTGGAACACAGTTTAAAATATGAGCAGGTGACTTTTCCGCAAAAATGAAAAATTAGGTGAAATCAATTTTTGTCCTTCTCCAAAAGTTGATTGTTTCTATAGAAACGATTTTTTTTTTCCCGCTCATTACTGCCCTCTTCTTTGCACTTTTTTAGGGAAAATAAATACTATTTCAGACCCACGTAGGGCTTCTGTACTTGAAAATATAATTATCGGCTGGGAAAGGTTGTGAAATGAAGTTTTGAACAGTGGGAGGTGAAGGATTTGATGAACAAGACTAGATCTTTGAAATTTTCACGATAAAAGTGCGTGCCTTTCAGATTTTTGACCATCCTGGAACGCACAAAGGGATTTGGAAAAGATTTGAAACGAAAATTTTCAATTGGAGGATTTCCAGTCCATTTGGTCGAGTTCGTCCCAAACGCGAGCCATCTAGTGCACTAAAAGACTTCAAGTTTCACTTTTTGAGCAACCTGGAACGCACAACGATTCTTGAAAAGATTTGAGATCAAAATTCTGAGTTTAAGGATTTTCAGTCCACTTGGTCGAGCTCGTCCCAAACGCGAGCCATCTAGTGCACTAAAAGACTTCAAGTTCCACTTTTTGACCATCCTGGAACGCACAAAGGGATTTGGAAAAGATTTGAAACGAAAATTTTCAATTGGAGGATTTCCAGTCCACTTGGTCGAGTTCGTCCCAAACGCGAGCCATCTAGTGCACTAAAAGACTTCAAGTTTCACTTTTTGAGCATCCTGGAACGCACGATAGCTAAAAACTCAGTGTTTCCTCAGTAAAGATGGTAAATTTTCTATCGTCCGGGTTACTGTAACTTTTTGGTTTAAATGAAAGCTGTGATATCCAGTTTAGCGGACAGGGCTCGATTTTTGAAAATTCTTTTTCTCAACTGAAATCTGGGACGCATTGCACACAATTCAATTAACATTTAAGTTGTTTCCTACAGTAATACTCATAAGAATAGTGCTTGAGCTGTGATTTGCTTAGCTCTGAAAAATCTCGCAACTTTACCCTTCCCTCCTGCGTCGCTGCCGTCCGCGCACCGCTGCCGTCCGCGCACCGCTGCCGTCCGCGCACCGCTGCCGTCCGCGCACCGCTGCCGTCCGCGCACCGCTGCCGTCCGCGCACCGCTGCCGTCCGCGCACCGCTGCCGTCCGCGCATCGCTTCCCCCCTGCCCCTACCACTGCTTCTCCCACAACTATGGGGGAATACTACTTTTGAGTGGGGCATGATTCTCGTCTAAACATCGTAATTTCACCCCCACGGTGAGGGGTAATATTTGTATACAGGGGAGAAGATACGTTCCCATAGGGTAGTGGGGGCAATTCTACGACAAACATCCATTACCCGGACCTTTCCTAGAATCGCCCCTCCCCCCATAATCTCAGAATCGCCCCCCACAAACCTTGTCCAAGAATAACCCCCACCATCGAAATTATTGGCATTTTAATGCTGCTGTTTAATGCTGACATTTAATGCTGTTATTTAATGCTGCCATTTAATGCCGCCATTTAATGCTGTTATTTAATGCTGCAAGTTTAATCCCGCCATTTAATGCTGCTATTTAATGCCGCCATTTAATGCCGCCATTTAATGCTGCCATTTTAATGCCGCCATTTTAATACTGCCCTTTAATGCCGCCATTTTATGCCGCCATTTTAATGCTGCCATTTAATGCTGCTGTTTAATGCTGACATTTAATGCTGCTATTTCAATACTGCTATTTCAATGCCGCCATTTTATGCCGCCATTTTATGCCGCCATTTAATGCTGCTGTTTAATGCTGACATTTAATGCTGCTATTTCAATACTGCTATTTCAATGCCGCCATTTAATGCCGCCATTTAATGCTGCCATTTAATGCTGCTGTTTAATGCTGACATTTAATGCTGACATTTAATGCTGCTATTTCAATACTGCTATTTCAATGCCGCCATTTAATGCCGCCATTTAATGCTGCCATTTAATGCTGCCATTTTAATGCTGCCATTTAATGCTGCAAGTTTAATCCCGCCATTTAATGCTGCTATTTCAATGCTGACATTTAATGCTGCCATTTAATGCTGCTATTTAATGCCGCCATTTTAATGCTGCCATTTTATGCCGCCATTTTATGCCGCCATTTTAATGCTGCTAACCCCTTTTCCCCGTAAGTTTTAAGCACCTTTTAGGAAATGAAAATTTAGATTCTAGATTAAACGCAAGGTTGTTGGCAATTTCAAATGTAAATTTCAATTCGTTTGTGATGCTCATCATCACAAACGTTTATCGAAAGCAATTTCAAAGTTCTCTTGTTGATTTTCTTGTTGTTGTTGTTGTTGTTGTTGTTGTTGTTTTAAGATTTTCAAAGAAATCTCTGTTTTTTCTTAAAAAATTTCAAATTTTTATTATCCTTATAAATAAATTCACAAAAAATTCCAAAAAATTTCAAAAAATGAGAGATTTTGACGTGAAATTGACCCGGAAAATGAATTTTTTCTCTTCAACAATCGAGGAAATTCGCCGCCATTAATAACTCGAGCGCCACGTCGGGCTCGATGTTGAACTCGGGGATCTCCGCCGCCGAATTCGTGTACTTTGCTTTGTACGCGAAATAGTGACAAACTTTGAGCAAAACGTGGGAACTGAAAAAGTTCATTTAATGGGAATCTTTCTTTTAATATGATAATCTTTCTGTTCAAGGTCTGAAATATGCCAAAAGGGACGCCTCCTATCCCCGAGCGGTGTGCTAGACAGCGAGCGATTACCGCACAGAGAACAGCTCGGGTGATTCGCTCTTCCCCCGGGATTTTTTCGGATTTAAGTTGAAATTGGATCAATTCCTGAATGATTCTACCGATCTGGAGCGCACACTAGCTGAAACGCTCAAAAAAAGTATCGAAAAGACGATTTGAAAAATCTCGTCACTCAGCGGAGTCGAACCATGGACCTATCGCTTACTAAAAATTTGCATAAATCTAAATTCTAAAAACTGCAATGAACTATGTGCGTTCCAGATCTGCCGAAAAGTTTATTAGAATTTTTGGTTTTCAAAAAATTCCGCGCCTTTTTGATCCAAACTGATTTGTCTCATTCCCCCATTCATCTTATCAACTTTACCCAAAACTTTCACAACGATTCCCCGATGTGACTTCCATAATGGCCGAATATTTCAAAATTACGTCTACTCCATAAATAGTTTTCGAGAAAATCGCTCAAACTCTGATTTTTCCAAAGCTCCGCCCGTTTTTGGCGTTTCCACTCTGTTTTTCACGCTTCCCATGCCCTTGAGCTTTTCAATTTTGCTTAGCCTTTTGCTTTGCAATCTTGCTTTTGCTAAAAACTCACGGAATCTCTCGGAAGTTCACCTCGTTTGCCTCGTTTTCTTGGAAAGCACCAGGTCCACTAAAATTTATGATTAGTTAACGTCTAGCTTTGCTCTCAATTCTTGAGTCAATTCTTGCCTCAACATTGCTTTGATTGTCCCAGAGATCAATGCGTGTTCTCTCTTTATGTAGAATTCGTGGCCATCGCTGCTCACCAGCTTCACATATGTTGATTCGGGGCCCTCGACGGTGATTTCTGAAATTGGGAACTACCGTATTTACTCGATTTAGAAGACCGGCCTCGATTATAAGCCCGTCTCGAATAGAAGACGGGGTCTAGGGAGTGATTGAAAAGAATATTTGAAAAGAATAGAAGACCGGTCTTCTATTCGAATAAATACGGTATGCTTGAACTATACTTGTACTATACTTGAACCATTTTTTTTAACCGTGTTCACTTGAAAGGCTTAAAACAAGAGCTGTGACTTCCAATTTGAAGAGCTATTACAAATTCTAGTCCGTTCTCTTTTTGGGGCTTTGTAAAAATCGGTCGGTTTAATTACACAAGTTGTCTAGCAAAGAAAATGCACCCCAGCCACTTGAAAGGCTCAAAAAAAGCTGCAGGCTTCAATTTGAAAGTGCTGTCCTTAATTTTTAAGAGAATTTAGACATTCAGCTCTTGTCTGACATTCAGCTCTTGACAAAATTCTGAATTTAATCCAGCAAATTCAGCGCCAAAATCTGCTAAAATCCAAAAAAAGTCAAGAAAAAAGGCTTAACTTTAACTGCTGTTTTCTCAGGATTGGCTAATCCAATTAAGCTCTATTCAGGCTTAATCGAAAGCCTGAAAGATCCTCTTTAAAACCATATTAAAACTTTAAAATAGTATGCTTTCTGAAAAAAGTTATGGAGCTTTAAAGAGTGTCAAATTAAAAAGTTGTCAAATTAAAAAGTAATCAAATTTTTTGGACTCACCCTGCGTCTCCTCGTCAATCTCGTCTTTATTATTCGACATTTTGTAGAGCTTTGATTAGAAATGAGATTAGAAATGAGTTTAATTCGAAGTTTAATTCGAAAATGATTGTTGAAATCTGAAAATAGGCTTTAAACAGGCTTTAAATAGGTTTTCAATTTGAATTCTGAAGTTCGTTTGAACAATTTTTTGATAAAATTTGATTCAACAAAGAGAATGAGCACAATTTTTTGATAAAAATGATAAAAATTTTATTTGAAAGCATTTTGTGAAGGTGAAAAGGCGCTTATTTACAAGAAAAACGAGTAAATGAACGGAAAAAGTCGAAGAAATTCAAACTTAAAGCAATTCAAAGCATTCTTCAGCTGTTCTTCAGCTGTTTTTCAGCTGTTTTTCAGCTATTTTTCAGCTAATCAATCAATCAATCAATTTTCACGTTTTTCTCAACCGTTTCAATGATTCGTGGCCGTTTATTGCGTGGTTGCATCGGCGTTGGTGCTCTGAAATTGCTGGGACTGGTTTCTGTTGGCTTTTACAAGTTTTTACAAGTTTTTACAAGCTTTTACAAGTTTTTACAAGTTTTTACAGGCTTTTTTGTACAATCCTTGAGCTGGATTCAACTCTACTGGACGCAATTTTCTTGATTTCTTTTGATTTTCTCGATTTTCTCGATTTCTTTTGATTTCTTTTGATTTTCTCGATTTTCTCGATTTTCTCGATTTCTCGATTTGCTCTATTTCTTTTGCTTTTCATACTCTTTTGCTTTTTTAGATAATCTCTGAAATCTCACAGCAATTGCTCAGCCGTCTCCTCTCCGATTCGACTCATCAGTTTCCTCAATTTCACACTCGTTTGCAAGTTCTCCTTCAACAAGTCCCGAATCCGCGCATTCCGATCCAACAACAGCATCTCCAGTTGTTTGTTTCTGAAAAAGAATCGATGATTGAGTCTAGATTGAGTCTAGATTGACTAGATTGAGTCTAGATTGACTCTATGATTGACTAGATTGACTAGATTGACTCTAGAATGACTAGATTGACTCTAGATTAACTCTATGATTGACTAGACTGACTAGATTGACTCTAGGCTCTAGAATGACTCTAGATTGGCCCTAGATTGACTCTAGAATGACTAGGTTGACTCTAGATTAACTTTATGATTGACTAGATTGACTAGGTGGATTCTAGATTGACTCTAGATTGACTCTAGAATGACTAGATTGACTCTAGATTAACTCTATGATTGACTAGATTGACTAGATTGACTCTAGACTCTAGAATGACTCTAGATTGGCCCTAGATTGACTCTAGAATGACTAGATTGACTCTAGATTAACTCTATGATTGACTAGATTGACTAGATTGACTCTAGGCTCTAGAATGACTCTAGATTGGCCCTAGATTGACTCTAGAATGACTAGATTGACTAGATTAACTCTAGGCTTTAGATTGACTCTAGATTGACTCTAGATTGACTCTAGATTGACTCTAGAATGACTAGATTGACTCTAGATTGACTTTATGATTGACTAGATTGACTAGGTGGATTCTAGAATGACTCTAGAGTCAATCTGATTCACTATAAACAGTAGCTTTCGATCTAGACAATGACTTTTAAATGATTTAGACGATGGTAGTTGAAAAAAGGTCAAAAACAAAAGATAAAAATGGCTAAAATTACCAAAAAAGCCTATTATGCAATAGAAAATCTTGACCGGATATGATTAAATCTTTACCGGCTCTATGATTCACTATAAACAGATGGTCAATCATTTATCTATTCTACCTAATCTATAGACACTGTCGGTGCTAACTGTCTAACTCTTGACTTTGGTTGACTTTTGACTTGACTTTTCTTCTCCCTTTGAAAACCTTGGAACAAAGCTAGACCCAATCAATCATAACTAAGCCAGATTTTCGTCGATTCTCCCAGTTCAGTAGTCCGACCTTGTCTTTTCCTCATCATCTACATAGCCCTCAACCTTTATTCTGCCTCTGATAACCCTGGAACAGAGCTAGACCTATTTAATGCCATGGCTAATGGATTTTCGTCCATTCCGCCAGTTCAGTGGCTCATCCCGCTCAAACTTGGAAAACCAACTTGAAAGTGGCCATGTCGAGTTGATCTTTTAGGTAGAGATTCTCGGATTGGAGTTGTCGGACCTGAACTGATTGATCAGCAATTTTAGGATGATGAAGCAGCTCTTGGCTCGGTTATTAAACTTCATTCAGACTGTAAAGCTATCTTAACTGGCGGCAGACAAGTCCAGAACTAGAGCCAGATCCAAGACCTTAGCCAGGTTCAGAACCAGAACCAGAGCCAGATCCAGGTCCAGAACTAGAACCAGATCCAGGTACAGATCTTGAGCCAGATTCAGGACCAGATCCAAATCCAAAACCAGATTCAGATCCAGATCTAGAGCCAGATCCAGAACCAGAGCCATATTCAGGACCAGATCCAGCTCCAGAACCAGAGCCAGGTCTAGAGCCAGAGCCAGGTCTAGAACCGGAGCCAGGTCTAGAACCAGAGCCAGATTTAGAACCAGTGCCAGATTTAGGACCAGAGCCAGATCCAGGTCCAGGTCCAGATCTAGAACCAGAGCCATATCTAGAATCAGAGCCGGGTCCGAACCAGGGCCAGATCCAGAACCAGAGCCAGGTCTAGAACCAGGTCCAAAACAAGGTCCAGAACCAGGTCCAGAACCAGAGCCAGGTCCGGAGCCAGATCCAGAACCAGAACCAGATCCAAGACCTGATCTTGTACTAAACCTGTGTTGGCTGGGCACGACTCCTTTGTGAGAGTGGCACAACGCGGTCATCGTGTGAGTGATGTGGATGAGAAGATAGAGAATGCGATCCACCGTCCAAATGCCCGTTTCCGCTTGCGAAATCAGAAAATGAGCCACTTAAACTTTTGCTTATTACTTGTATTGGAAAAAATTGGAGAATTGGAACACAACTCACTCCGCCAGCACGTCGATATAGCTAGTGGACGGGCCTTGGTGTTGCGCGTCGGACAGCTCTTCGGCGCTCACCTCTTCTTGTTGAACGACATCTAAAGTTAAGAGTCTTAATGCGTCTGTAATTGGTCTGTAATTAGAGCGTCTGTAATTAGAGCGTCTGTAATTGGACCGGGTTACTGTACCTAGTTTGGCTACAATTCCTGGCTACAATTCCTGGCTACAATTCCTGGACTATCTACAATTCCTGGACTAAGTCCAATATCTGCTCTGTATCTAGATCCATTGCTACCGAACTTTCCCTGAATCCAGTGCCACTTTTAAAGCTCTTTTCTCAACGAACCGTGAATCTCGTCAACTCCTCCAACCACATATTGCGCGCTCAACTCGTCGTCGTTGAAATATTTCCTGAAAACTTAAATCATTAAACATCTTGATATCAAAAACCGTTTTGTAATCGGCGCTGGCAAAAGATTGATCATTTTTGTGAGTGGTAGATCGGAACGAGGTGGCTGAAAATGATGAAAAAGGTGAAAAGGTGAAAAAGCGTTTTTTACAAAGTTTTCCACAAAGTACAAGACAAAATCGGTAATTTGTACAAGAGAATTTGTACAAGAGACAAATTTTACCTTTTCCCCAAGTGCGGTCCCATTTCCAACGGCAATTTTTGGTCTCCTCGGCGCGGCTGATCGATCATCTTTATGTGAGGGCACGACCACTAATCTTTTCACCACCATCGTCCTTCCCGGATGATTTGGATAAGCTGATGGAGTGTGATGAATCTCCTGGAATTGACTGCGTTTCTGATAGGCATTCCCAAAGAATCGACTGCGTTTCTGATAGGCATTCCCAAAGATTAAGGCATTCCCAAAGAATCGACTGCGTTTCTGATAGGCATTCCCAAAGATTAAGGCATTCCCAAAGAATCGACTGCGTTTCTGATAGGCATTCCCAAAGATTAAGGCATTCCCAAAGAATCAACTGCGTTTCTGATAGGCATTCCCAAAGATTAAGGCATTCCCAAAGATAAAGACACCCGCAAAGATAAAGCCATCCCCAAAAACGAGGGTTTTCAAGTTCAAAACGCTTCAAAACACTTTTGATCTCGCCTTTTCAACCCGCCTACTATGATTGAGAAGCCTACTGTGATTTTGTTAGCCTTTGTGCTATGCTGTGTTTCATATGGAACTTAAGGAAACGACTGACCGGGAAACCTATCATTTATGCAAGAGAAAGAGATGAATTTGATAGCCAATAGGCCGATCCATCGCTTTTCCTTGGCTTTAATGATAGGTTTCCCGGTCAGTCGTTTTCTTAAGCTCCATATGAAGCACAGCATAGCGTATTGTCCATGTGTCGTTCTCAGGACTCATTCGGCCGTCTGTGTCGTGGCCCAGGTCTCTGTGTCATGGCCCAGGTCTCTGTGTCATGGCCCAGGTCTCTGTGTCATGGCCCAGGTCTCTGTGTCATGGCCCAGGTCTCTGTGTCATGGCCCAGGTCTCTGTCCCGAAGGTCTACGGGACAGAGACCTGGGATAGCCGGCTTTTAATTCTGTTTCTTTTTTCTTTCTAGTTAAGCTAATGAAAATTTCACTGATCAAGGGTTTAACAAGATTTTGCCGCTAATTTCTATAGTTTTCAATCCATAGAGCTCACCTCAACATGCGCCACATCTCCCGGTCGAAGCACTTTCTTTGGCATCGCCACCATTGGCTCTCTTCTCCGAGTCACTTGTTTCCGTGAAAGCCCATCCATGACGAATGGGGAAAATACCGGGTTTGACATGTTCTAAAGTTTTTAAATAAAAGAATGACATCCAAAATTTAGAAAAATAGAAGAAAATTGATTGGAAAACGGCAAATTTTTTAAAGAATTGCTTCAAAATCGTTTTCCAAAATCAAAACCAAAAATTTTGCAAAAATATGACTTTTTAAGGGCTTTATTCGATAGAATGACATCCAAAAATGAAGAAAACAAAAAAATTGGACAGTTTCAAAAGGAAAATCTTAGCGCTAAGCTATAGACTACAAAAAGCGACGAATCAGGACAATTATTGTGGATGTTCCGGCAGGAAAAGATACGGA